AAAACGAAAAAAGAACATTTCGTAAAACAAAAAAACAATTATTTATACATTTTTTGGTAAGAATTGCTTACAATACTATATTAATTATTTCCCGTCTTATTATTATAAATTATTCCAATTACACTCACATTTTCTAAATAATTTTATTTTAATATTCAAGCAATAAGAGTTTTCCTTATTGGCATAACTTTTTCAAATTAAATATTTTTCAAAAGGGATGAAAAATATGCAGGATTATTCCAGGAATGACATGATAAGTGGAAGTAGCATGTCACAGTTCAGACGCACGCAATCGTCTGAGATCTCATTTATCTTTCCTTTTCATATAATCATTTTATTTATTCTGACATTTTTCACACTGGGTTTGTTTGTTTAGAAGAGCATAATATTCTAGCGTTTTACAGGCATTTTAAAATTAATTCGTCTCTAATAAAACACGCCAAACGCATTTTGAATAAACAAGGGTTGGAGTATTGGTCTATCTAGTAAAACAGGGGGATAGCAGGAAAATTTTATAAATATCTATTCCCCGACTTTCGCCCAATCCCATGGTTCACTGAGATAAAAACTGACTTTTATTATTTTTTTTCGACCAATATATTCGATAGGAACACCATCTATGTTCTCTTCATCTGTGGAATATATTGTACAGATTATACCTTAGAGCTTGTTCAAACTGTGCAACATGTGATGAGCTTGAGAACATTAAACACATTATCTGTGTGCCCGAGTAAGAAGAAAGTAGAAAAGACTTTTTTGAAAGGCAGTACCAGTGAGGTTAACAAGCCTCTCAGGTGGGAGGATCTGCTTTGGTCTGTAATGGTCGAGGTGTATAAATTTAACTATATCTTCATGGTAAACTGCACAATTAGCATTTAATATGAGGAGTTGTGTCTCTTTTTAAGTTCGAGTCCGTGGGTTTGGTCCGGGGTTTGCTTTGTGGGCTCGACGCCGCGTTCGGTGTTTGCTCTTCAAAAGCCTTGGGCAGTTGGACCACGAAATGTGGGAGGCTGGGAGCCTTTCCGTAGCTGTATTATTAAGCTTTGTAAATGGTTTTTATTCACATCCACATGCACCTGTAACAAAGGAAATGGTAACCCAAAGTAAATGTCAAAAAGCGTGGACGAAAGCTTCCCCAGGGGCGGAAATTCGCGCCTGGTAGGTCCTGGGTATTCTCGAGGCTCAACGACAAACTTGTTAAGTTTTTACTTGTTACTTCCAAAATGTAGATTTGTTACTCTATTCATTTATTTTCTGTTTGTATAATTTATTTACATATTTATTTGCACATACAGGTTAAGAGCATAATTTATTAAATTAAGTAGTTATTTATCGATTGTTTTACCACAATTGCTGGATGCCCAAAGGCAAAGCGATAAAATCAATAAATAAAATACGTTAAAAGATTAATGAGTGTTATACAAAATTCAATTTTACCCGTATTACCAAGTTTTTAAGAATATGTCCTTATCCTGGCACTTGAAAAGACATCAGAAACAGACCCACACAGGCAACCAAAACTACAAGCAAGACGTTTTGATGTCTCCCAAGTGAAAAATACATTATTTTTCGACTAAGGTTTAAATTTTCCACCGTTCAATTATTCGGGTATTTTTCTTCTTGAAAAGTAAAAATTAATTTCCTAACATCATCTGACACAGCATTTCGCTTACAAAGTTTTCAGGAAATACAACCACTTATTTTTTTATTAAATTCACTATATTTCGTGGTCCACTTGACCAATTAATATCTTTCAATTAATTAAGGTTTTTAGTTAGGATAAAAAAGTCAGTGTCACGAGCGGGATTCGAACACACGACCTTTAGCTAGATACGCCGCTACTCTACCATTTGAGCTATAGTAACTTGCTAATAATACATGCCACGCTACTCTACCCGACGCTCTGCGATCCCCACTGTCCAAATTTTCGTCGGGTCGCATCGAGTACAGTCGAAGTCAAAAGAACCGGACACACATATATTTATCCAAACTACATGTATTATTGTCGTTATATTAATTACAACATACTTATTTTAATATAAACCAAATTAACTGTGATTAAAAATTAATTAGTTTTTATTTAAAAAATTAATTTTAATGGTTTGGTAAAAAATTATTCAAAACACCGGAATACGATTTTTTGATATGAAGAATTTAAGTAACCATTTATTGTACTTGCTTCGGCGGTACATATACTAAAATTGGAACATTTCATTACACGGTTTTCTCATAAAATTTAATTAATAATTTATTTCATTGTTTTGCTCGTAAAATTATACAATTTTCTAATGTCGGGTAGAATCAGAAATGGTCACTCATATTTTTTGTTGTTTATTTCAAACTAAGTACATATAATTTTGTCGTTATATTAATTACAACATGTTATTTTAATGTAAACTAAATTAAACGAGATCCAAAATGCATAAGTTTTTATAAACATTGTTTAATTAGATGGTTAGGAGTAAGTTTATTTAAAACAATTAAGTTTAACAAACAATTTATTAGATGAATGTGCTCATAAAATTTAACTAACAATTTATTACAAGGTTTTGCTCAAAATAGTGCATTAAGAACAAAATATGCGTTGTGATTGTGATAGTGATTATTGTGATAAACGCTGTGGGCTGTACGCGACGGGTACTTGCTTCGGATAGATGTGCACACCCAACCAAAACGTGGCAAGGCGTCGGGCAGCATCGGGTAGCGTCGCATGGCGTATCTTCGGGTAAGTATGTTCCTGGCTTAACTTCCCATCTCAACCCCACCTTTTGAATTTTCCCTCCTTTTTGCCATTTTTCAAATATCGTGTAATCTATTTGTCTCTCAGCGACAAATGAAATGGCGACGGAGAGCTTTAGTGAAGATATACTTCAATTTAACTTATTATATTCACTAGTTTTCGTAGTCCGGTTTTTAGTTGAGATAAAAAGTCAGTGTCACGAGCGGTATTCGAACCCACAGCCTTCGGCTAGATACGCCGCTACTCAACCTCTCGAGCTATCGTGACTTCGATCCACTATTTATTTTTATTGTTTAATGGTTTCAAAAGTACGCACTGGGATTTTTCGATCGGTCACTTTGTCGCAGAGTTCGGATACACGCCGCAGATTATTTTGCCCAGCAACATTGTCTATTTTGAGTCTGAGCTATGTCAAACGCGGTCGTGCTCTCAAGGATTGCAGTAGCACTTTACATAGCTCTACGGAGTAAATAAAGCGCTACCAAAAGGCAACCATGTTGGTGGAATCGTGAGGATTCCATATATTCAAGGATCAATATAAGCATGGGCACGATCTTCTTGTCACTCTGAGATTGAAAGACGGAATGGGATTCCAAAATTTTGTTCGGATGAACCGAGTTCACTACCAAATGTCGTTTAGAATTTGTTGGATCACAAATTTCCAAAAAGGAGACGACTTTTCGGGTGCCAGTTTCTGCTACCGTTTCCTCGCAAGTGGAGACTCTTACCTAAGCCTTAATATTTTTGGGCTAACTAAGCGACAGTATCTGCTTTCTTCCCCCTGACTTTCTATTCCTCCGAGAAAGATCCCATTTATGGTGGGATTGCAAAAATACTAAAACGTAACACATCAGATTCAAGACTCATTGTCGCGGAACGTCCCGGATGTAAGAAAATGAATCCCAGATGCAGCTCCGCTTTAAAGAGTCCGAACAAAGAATCCCAGTGCGTACTAAGGTATAAAAAAACAAAGTAGATTATTAACCATTGCCAAGCCCAGTCGAGACAATTTTCTTACCCAGTAAAGAATTGGGAAAATGATTGCTCCAATGTAATTGAAAATAAGTATATTTTCTTTATTCGTATACAAGAGTTGAAAACGCAGAAGGTAAGGAACTGTCTAGACGGATTCCAAATTAGATGCGATTGAAATCGCTCACCGGCTCGGCGTGCAATCCCGACCTCGCTCAACCCACTGATGAGGCCGGGACCACAATGTAAATACGTTGAGCGTCGAGAGTGAATTGTGCCTCCGACACCGTCTGTCTGTTTTCTCTCTCTCTCTCTCTCTCTCTCCTCTCTTTTTCTCTTTCTTTCTGTTTCTTTCTCTCACTCCATTTCTCTATATCTATAGATGTATCAATCTATGTCACTCTCCATCTCTATTTTGTCTTACCTTTCTCCTTATATCTTCTTTTATCATTTCTTTCTCAATGTTTAATAAAATGTGCAATAAAAGAACATGTAAAAATATAAAAGAAATAAAACTTATTTTGTTCTGCACGTCCAGTTTTATATTATCTGTGTGTATATACTAGAGTTAACAATTTTTATACACTGAAGAATAACTAACACTTTTAGAAATTTCAAATATCGAGTAATGGGAAAATAAAAACTTTTCTAGCTTGCTGTTTCTTCGATACTCAAACCAGCACGACGGCCCTCTCGTACCCCAATCCCTTTTTTATTCGAAAAGTACCTGAGAATTGAAGTAGCTACATATCTCAGAGATGGATGTGTTCTTGGAAACGTATAGAATACGTTTGAGAGGAAAGATAAATAAGGCCAAGAGGCTCTCTCCAGGGGGTAGGTTTTTAGGACGAAGAGAATGAATGATATTCACTTATTTTATTTACAAATGAATGACGAAAGATCATCATCAGGCTGCAGTATTTTACATTAAATTTTACAGATGCATTATCAAAAGTGTATTTTACTAAACAGTATATTTATTCAGTTTAATTTCTACTTTAAACATTAAAGAAAAAATGTTGAAATAAACATTTTTAAAGAAGATTCTTGGAACATGTAGCGTTTCTTTCAATGACATTCAATCCGGAAATTTATCAAAAATTTATCCAGAAAATAAGAAATCTCATCTCATCTGAAACTAATCCTCAGATTTAAAAGGAAGCAAAATCGCGAACTTTTCATAGTTCACCAAGATTTTATGTACACTAACTACAGTCAACAAATTAAAGGAGGACTGCGTTGGACTTGGTGAAACCATGGAATAACTTATTTTTGTATTTTGTTTCAGAAGCCGCGGGTTCCCGCAGGTTTCGGACAGATTTTCTACAAGAACTGCCGACCCCTGGGACAGGGCCGACTTTCGACACGAGCGTGCCGAACAACATCACAGGCCTAGTTGGAAAGACGGCCTATTTAAAGTGCAGGGTGAAAAATCTTGGAAACAAAACAGTAAGTCCGTTAATTACATTTAACGCTTTGATAACACCATGTATATTCATTTTTCAATTAAAAAAGTAACGATATTGGCTTTTTGCTTCATCGAAATATGAACTAAAGAGGCAAATCTCTAAATTCGTACATCACTCTTAGAGATATTGAAAGCGGAAACGGGAATGAAAAGCTAAAAATTCATTATCTTGACTTGAAAACAGTACACAGAAATCATGTAAAAGTACATGAAAAGATTACAATTAATTAAGGTTATTAGTTGAGATGAAAAAAAGTTAATGGCACGAGCGGGATTCGAACCCACGATCTTCGGCTAGATACGCCGGACCACGAAATTAGTGAATTTAAGTACATGAAAAGATTACATCTCAACCTTTGAACGAGATCCATTAGAAAGAAATCTCTATTTTTCGTTCTACCTAAATACTATGACCAAATGTTAGATTCGGTTAGCGGCCCATAGACTATCAATATTATTGCACAATATTTTGGATTGTGCAATTTAATTGATCGTGTGTAGACGATATTGAAAGTTTGTACATTGCACGATTGACGAAAATTTGAAAATATATTGTACAATCTGGAAAATATTGCACCGTCTGTTGGCATTATTGCGCAATATCAGTCAGTTTGCGAAGTATCAGCAAGTGCACAAAATATTGCACAAACTTCAATATTGAATTCAAACTATTCAAGTTCTTTGCACAAGCAAAATTTTGTACAATATTATTGAACGTTAAGGGACAACCGTCAAATTACTGTGAAATCTATATTGTACAATAATATTGACCGTCTATGGGCCGCTTAAAGTTTCTAGGCAATTTTAGCTTTTTACTTAATGCTTATTTTTGTCAGGAAATAATAATTTTTCATATAAAAATAATCGTTGAATTTAGAAAACATCAGGATGGCCATTTTCTATAAACTGTATAATTATGGGATCTCAGTAAGTTTATCGAGGTATTAAAGTGTATAGCGGGACAGAGAGTGCTGTGTGGTGTAGGGGAGAGGTCACAATTACCTTCGAAACTAGAGTAGGTGTCAGGCAGGGCTGTCTGCTTTCCCCTCTTCTGTTTTCGCTGTTTATTAATGATTTACCCGAGATTTTGGGTGGGGGTCTGTTTATCGGAGCATCAAATGTAAACTGTTCAATATATGCAGATTATGTAATTTTGATGAGTACTTAACCTGTTCAACTTCAAAAGATGTTAAACAGATTGGGAGAATACTGCCGACTGTGGAATTTGTCAGTAAATTTGAATAAAACTAAGATTGTGGTGTTTAGAAATGGCGCTAGACCATCAAAGAATGAACGATGCTTTTTAAAAAATGAAAGAATAGAGGGAGTAAAAGAGTACAAATATTTAGGTGTAACGTCTCTACTTTCCTTTAATATGCATTTGACCAATAAACTTAGGGTTGCTAAACAAGGAGATGTTCCTCTAAAAAGTAAATTTAAAGTTTTTAAATCCGTCTCTAGGGCTATGATGTGTTATGCGTCACAAGTATGGGGCTACCATTAGTATAAAGTGGTAGAATACCTTCTTTGTTTTTTTATTAAGAAGTTGTTTGGCGCTCCCATAAACGCGCTATTATAAACCAAGTTATTTTCTTTATTTGGAATTAGTCTTTAGTCCTTTGTTTTTGTATACGTTGAGGAGTCATTTAAATTCTATACAGCGGGTTTTGGGTCTGAAACAAGATTGTTTGCTCTACCTCCTTGCGCAGGAGATAATTAAAAAACAACATTTTTTGGCTTAAAGAATTAGAAGTGTTGTCTTCTGGAATTGAACTGTAGTTCTCGTATAAATTTTACAGATCCGAAAGATTTCAAAAGTTGGGCAGTACAATTATTGCAGGCAGTAGAAACTCATCATAAAGAATAATTCACTAATTTAGGGGTCCGCTTGACCAATTAATACATTACAATTAATTAAGGTTTTTAGTTGAGATAAAAAGTCAATGGCACGAGCGGGATTCGAACTCACGATCTTCGGCTAGATACGCCGCTGCTTACCACTTATCTATCGTGACCTCGATCCACTCGGACACCAACTTCCCATCTCAACCCCAAATTTTGAGTTTTCCCTACTTTTTGCCATTTTTCAAATGTCGTGTAATCGGATTGCATTCTCGGCGACAAATGAAATGGCCACGGAGAGTACTGAAGTATACTTCATTTTAATTCATTAAATTCACTAATTTCGTGGTCCGCTTGACCAATTAATATATTACAATTAATTAAGGTTTTTAGTTGAGATGCTATCATTTGTCGCCGAGAATCCAAGCCGTCGTATTTACAACCTGTGCACCGTGACCAGTATTGATTGTGCATCTCGATTTTATTTATCCCGAGCTCCTGGTTAAGCTTGAGGCTTTTTACCACACCCCAAAACTTTTTCTTGGACTTCCGTGTGTATCCTTCAGAGCCTGGCTTTTCCTCTCCCAGGATTAGTAATATCACTCACATAGGCCTTCGCACCGAAAGAGGACTTCCGCTGTTTTTTTTATTCTACTTCTTGGCAAACTTTGCGCAAGCTTGTTTCTGCCTGGCCGAGTCTGTCCATATGCCTCCGGAGTTATAGTAGTTAGCAGTCCAACCATTATTCTCCTCCTAGTATGTCCTGTAGTTCTGCCGTTAGTTTCTGCAATGGTGCTTTGATAAACTTATTCATATTCTCTGTCCCGGGCTACATTTTCATTGAGCGAAGGACTTATTAATCCGTTGTCTAATGGATCCTCGTTTTTGGCAGTTTGGTAAGCTAAATTGTCCTCATTGAACTTTCCTTGACCAATTCTTGGCTTCTTCGTTACCCCTATGACTTGCGTGCCCTGGCACCCAGATAAGGTTAATTTTGTTATTTTCCCCAATGTCTGACAGGACAATGCAAACGACTCTAGACTTTACTGTTGTCGCGGTAATTGCCTTCAGTTCAGCCTGGCTGTCCGAGTAGATGTTTATTCTTCCCCTGACAATCCCCAGTCTTTTATCTCCCGAGCATAGTTCAATAGGCAGTTTCCGCTTGAAAAACGGTGCCATATTCTCCACGGCTTATATGAATTCTGATCCTTGGTTTATTACCATAAATGCCAGATCCTGAACCATATTCGGTTTTGGAGCCTCTGTAAACCAAATATTACCGGAATTAAATAGGATCCCTTTCTCTCAGTCTATTCTACAAGGTATTTTGATTAGAAATGTTTTGTCAAGACTGAATTTAGGGGTCATGGCATCAATAAGCATCCCTAAAGTCCAGTCTAACTAAAGCTCATCTCATAGCATTAGTTGCTTCTTGTTATGTGAGTAGGCTATTGGAGTCTCTCCATGCAGTAACGTATTTGTAGTGTAAGATCCTGTATCTTGAGCCCCCTTCGTCTACAAAAATTCTATTGCTCCTTCCATCATGTCAATCTACTATTATCCATTTAGATAATGGTCTGATAGGGGCGTCGGTGGACGCAATTGTTTAGGCGTGGACACGGCGCTCATCACTGTAAAGGTCCCGGGTTCGAATCCAGTAGCCCTGCATTCAAACCCGACATACTATAAATGGGCTTTTTTCAAAAACTCCGGCACCCTGAGGGTTTATATGACCTCTGCTGTTGCTAACCCTCGTTAACAAAATAGTCTTATAAATCACTAACGAGTTATTTCCCATTCACCCTTAAAATAAATAGTAAAAACGAACTTATGAGACGCTTCAAGTCTTACCTTGAAAAATGAAGATCGAACCTGATATTTTTCACGTGGAACATAGTTTAACCTGTTTTCCTTTGTGAACATTTCCCCTTCTTATAAACTATTCAACAGTATTTTGAAAACAAATAAACAATTATTGTTTTTTCCTCCAAATGTATCAAAAAGAACTTCAAAAAATTGAAGTGGTGTAATTTTAAAAGCAGATTTAAGCAAAGACGAAAATGGGAAAATACACAAGTTTTTCTTAATAGCCAAAGAAATCGTTATTGTGTGAATTTTATCCGATCAGAGTTAAGGAGGAGGATAAATGTCAAAGGCGGGTCCTTGAACGCTCATTGGTATTGAACAACAATCGCACAGACTCTCATCACTTTAGACGATGCGAATAAAAGATAATGACAATTCTCGTATTCAAAACCAGAAAACACATAAACAAGTCTTTTTGCCTTCTGGCAACGCTCCCATTACCCCGCTGACAAAAAACCATTAAACGACTAAAAAATTACACCATTACATCAACAACAACTATTGGATATATCAGTCACTGGCTACTGAAGACAACTCATGGATTGCAAGGAGGAAAGCAATAAAATACGAAAATCTTTACCTGAGAGGTTTTTGTATTGATTGCAAGTGTTGGGAGTTCAAAAAAAATTGGAAGTTAATCCTTATGTAGAATGCCCTCACTTTACATCTTTAAGGGTTTTCTTATCTTTTTGTCCTTTTTTCTATTATTTTATAGTCTTGTTCTGGAGTAGTTTTTTTGGGTGTAAACTAGCTGATTCTTTGCTGAAGCCTGGTTTTTAATCTCAGATAAACTTTTTCTTTGTACTACATTGATTATTCATTTGTTATGGTCCAATTTTCACCCAGGGCATTCTCGAGGTGTCAGCTAATCAGCGATGAAGAGGTGGGTAAAAGAGAAAACCTTGAATATTGGTTAGGTGAAAATAAAAATTGATTGGGCGCCAGTAGTTTTCTTTTAAAAAAGATAAAAGAAATAGAGATATAACAAATTTAAAAAATAAAGATCGAAAGATCACCTCGCAACTGGTACTGGATACCTGCGGCTACAAGGAGACTAGACTAGCCCAAGGTTGGGATTCTTCTCCGTTCTCTTATTGCTTTTGGCGTTTGTTAGCCTTTGAGAAAAGAAAAAAATGACTTAACGACTTCACCTAGAATTTCATACACAAATGGGGTTGTTGAATGGCAAATGGGAAATACTGCCTTGAGTTCCGCCAGCGGATTTCTCTCTGTTCTTTTGTATTTGAAATTGTTTTTCGTTCTGTAACCAAAA